GAATAGGATGATCAATATGACGATGATGCTGATGATGATGATGATGATGGTGGTGGTGATGATGGTGCTGATGATGATGCTGCTGATGATGATGCTGATGATGATGGCGATGATGATGCAGATGCTGATGCTGATGCTGATGAGGCTGATGAGGCTGATGTTGTTGTTGGTGGTGATGATGATGATGAGGAGGAGGAGGAGAAGGAGGAGGAGGAGGAGGGAGGCGGAGGCGGAGGAGGAGGAGCAGGAGGAGCAGGAGGGAGGAGGGAGAAAAGGGAGGCTGAGAAGGGAGGGAGGCAGAGCGAGAGGAAGACGGATGGATGAAGGGGAAGACGGAGTCAGAGGAAGAGGACAATGCAGGCGGAGGTGGAGGACGCGGAGGAGGAGGAGAAGGAGGACGAGGACGGGTGCAAACCCAAGACTCATCAACGATGCATTAAGCCCTCTCTCCAAGTTCCCTCTTCGCAGGTCTCTACAAGGGTTCATTTCCATTGAATGAAGTGCCCCGCTGGAAGACAACCGTTTGAAACTTCTGAACCGTGCCAGAACACCATTCTTGGGACTTCAACGTCGCAGACCAACGTTACTCGTGCATCCTGGCGATCCTGAATCGTGCCAGAACGCCGTCCCTGGGACTTCAACGCAGCGAATCAACGTGACTGCCGTGCCGTGGTAGTCCTACTTCGTGCCAAAGCGCCATTTCTGGGACGTCAACCGTAAGAACCCTTGAAGCTGCTGTAAACTCTTACGACGACTGGGCGCGGCGCTCAGGCGAGGGCCACATCTTGAAAATGAGCCGTTTTCCATCCGCGAAGCTCTTGCAAGCTTTTAAGGCGACTGTTCGCGGAGCGAAGATGGTAACCACAGTGCGAAAACCGTCCGCCCTCCATGCGCAAGCTGGCTGTAACAAAAAAAAAACACGAATGTGCGCAGCCCTAAGGCGAGAACCACAGTTTGAAAACCGCGTGCCCTCCACCCGTGAAGACCTTGCGAAGCTTCAAGACGAATGCGCCAAGGCGAGCACAGCATGTCGAACACGACCTGCCCTCCATCCGCGAAGCTGCCGCACATTTCAAGCTAAGGCATCCGAAGTGGAGAGGAAGTCTCAGGCGAAACGCCCGGCCTGCCCTACCGACACGTCTCGGCGTGCGACAGGGAGGAGTTATCCATAAGGGAAAGGAATGGAGGAGGAGGAGGAGGAGGAGGAGGAGGAGGAGGAGGAGGAGGAGGAGGAGGAGGAGGAGGAGGAGGAGGAGGAGGCCTCTTGGGAGCCTCTTGGGGCACTCTTGGGAGCTTCCCGAGAGCCTCTTCGGGGCCTTTTTGGCCGTCGAGGGCGTTCCTGGCCCGCCTGCCGCCGTCGAAGGCCGTGTCGGGGGCCTCTCTGAACCGCCTTGGGGCCATCTTGGGGCGCGTCAGGGCCAAAGGACAAGGGAGGAAGGCGGCGGCGGACGATTGAACGGGCGTTCAAGCCGCTGTCAACATACTCGAAGGGAAAGCCGAGGGGGAAACAAAAACCCAAGGAAGCCCGAGAGAGAGAGAGAGAGAAGCAAAAAAAGAATGAGTGAACCTGCTGGCCACAGTACGGACGTGAAGGACCACGGCGCCGCTCTTCGGTGGCAGGGGCGGAGGAGGGGCGGAGGAAGGAGGGGCGGAGGGAGGAGGAGGAGGAGGAGGAGGCGGAGGCGGAGGAGGAGGAGGCGGGGCAGGAGGAGGAGGAGGAGGAAGAGGCGGAGGAGGAGGACGAGGAGGAGGAAGAGGCGGAGGAGGAGGAGGACCCGCCGCCGAGGCGACGTGCCGCCCGCGGCGCCCGCTTCCGCGGGCGAGGGCCCCAGCGACCTGGCCGCCCTCCTCGAGGCCGTCGGCGCGCGGTGAGAGAGAGGGCGGGCTCGTCCCTCGCTCCGTCCCGCCTTTCCTCCTCCTCCTCCTCCTCCTCCTCCTCCTCCTCCTCCTCCTCCTCCTCCTCCTCCTCCTCCTCCTCCGCCTCCTCCTCCTCCTCCTCCTCCTCCCCCCTCCCCCTCCCCCCCCCTCCCCCCCCTCCCCCTCCCCCCCCCCCTAGTCCCCCCCCAAGTGCTGCCCCTCCTCCTCCGCCTCCTCCTCTTCTCCTATCCCCCTCTCCTCCTCTCCTCCACCTCCTCCTGCATTGTCCTCTTCCTCTGACTCCGTCTTCCCCTTCATCGATCCTTCTTCCTCTTGCTGTGCCTCCCTCCCTTCTCAGCCTCCCTTTTCTCCCTCCTTCTCCTCCTCTCCTCTCCTCCTTCTTCCTTCCTCCTCTTTCCTTCTTCCTTCCCGTCCTCCTTCCTTCCGCCCTCCTCCTTCCTCCTTCCTCCTCCCTTCCTCCCTCCCTCCTCCCTCGCCGAAGAAGGAGGGGACAGAGGCGGGCCAGCAGGCAGCAGCAGGGGGCGAGACGGTCTGTCCTCTTGACCAGCTCGCCCCAGTGACCTCCTTCCTCCTTCCTCCCTGCATCCTCCTCCCTCCTCCCTCCCTCCTCCTCCCTCCTCTATCCCTCCTCCCTCCTCCTCCTCCGCCCTGGCGACCTCCTCCCTCCTCCTGGCCTATTCCCGCTCATCCTCCTCGCGCGTGGGTGGGTTTGGCTGCGCGGACATGGGTGCGGCACGCGCGCGCCGCGGGGCTCCTGCAGAGTGCGCCGTGTAGCCGGAGGACCGGAGGACCCGCTGCACGGTGAGCGCGGAGGACCGGCTTGGCACGACGATGCTCTTCCTGAGGGCCTCGGAGCGGCAGTCCCGAGCGCGATTGGCTCTTGCATCGCCCGCTGCCCCACCCTGCGCACGCTTGTCGACAATCCGTACGGCTTCACCGCCCCGCGCCAGGCACGTCTCAGAGTTGCCTGGCAGCATGCGCTCGACCTTGCTCGCGACCGCGCGCTCGATGAGCTCAACCAGCTGCACGGCGAGTTAGCGGACCGAACTACCAGCGGAGCAAGCCGCGCATCGCCGTCGGCGGGTCCACCGCTTGATTCACCGCCTCGCCCCCAGACGCAGCTGCGCGACATTCGCGGTCATGGACAGGAAGGGCCACGCGACCACCGACTCTTCTGCGATGGCTTCCACCTTGCGGGACCACTGGTCGAAGGTATTCGCGGCCCAGGACACCGACGACGCCCTCCGCACCCAATGCCTGCGCGAGGCAGCAGAGCACGCCCCGCCAGAAAATACAAGGCACCTCCCTCTCATCAAGCCCTCCTGGGAGGACTTGCGTTTCTCCACAAGTAGTGCGCCTGGCCTTGATGGCATTACTTTCCGGGCAGGGCGAAAGCTGGGCGACTTCGGGACCTCCATCCTCTGGGACGCCTTCTCAGCCCTCGCCGCCGACGACGCGCTGGAGGCCCTGGACCAGGGCTGGCACGACTAAAATTCTTGACGCTTGACGGTCCGTGCTCCGTGCCTCTTCTTGGTGTGTGGCTCGGCTGGAGCTTGGCGCCGTAAGGGCGACTTCTCCTATCCGTCCGCCGCCGGTGCCGCGCTTGCGTCCCCATCCGCTGGGATGATTGCGCCGGTCCCCCACAATGAGGGTCATTTTGTCCCCGGCATGTGCACTCGCCTCAGCGGCCTATGTGCCTCTGCGGCCAATTATCTCGCTCTGTGCCCCAGCCGTGAATCCCGCTCCTTGGATCTGTCCTTGAGAGCCGCAGACCAAAAAAAATATATCCCCACCAGCCCATCCAGTAACGATGCCCAGGCGAATGGAGGTGATCAGGGAAGTGAGGGAGCATACAGAGTAACAAAGGGCTGGGGAACCCGTCTTACCCAAGACGGCGAGGATGGAGGAGGAATCGGAGGAGGATGAGGAGGAGGAGGAACTGAAGGAGGAGGAGGGGGAGCGGGAGGAGGGAGGAGGGAGGAGGAGCAATAGGCGGATGAGGAGGAGGAGGAGGAGGAGCAGGACGAGAATGAGGAGGAGGATGAGGAGAAGGGCGAGCAGAATGGCCAGAGGCCTCTTGGATGCCTCTCGGAGTCTCTTCGGATGTCTCTTGGGAGCGTCCTGAAGGCCTCTTAGGGCGTCTTGGGAGCGTCTTGGCGGTCCCGGAGGCCTCTTGAAGCGTCTTGGGTGCCTCGGGGAGAGCCTCTTGAGGCCTCTTGGGGGTCTCTTGGGAGCCTCTTGGGAGCCTCTTGGGGACCTCTTGGGGCCTCCTGGGCGCCTCTTGGGGCCCTCTTGGGGCGCTCTTGGGGGCCTTGGGGGCGCTCTTGGGGCCATCTTGGAGGAGATCGATCAAAGAAAAGGAGGGTCCGGATTCGCCCTGCACCTCTAAATCCTCTAAAATCGCCTCTTGGGCCCCTCTTGGAGCGCTCTTGGGGCGCTCTTGGGCGCTCTTGGGGCCGTCTTGGGGCCATCTTGGGCCCCTCTTGGGGCTATCTTGGGCCCTCTTGGAGCCATCTTGAGGCCTCGGAAGGCCATCGGAAGCGAAAAGGCGAGAAAGCAAAAAACAGTGATTGTCCTTAGGTTTTTGAAGGATGTTGGCCTCTTGGGGGGTCTCCTTGGAAGTCTCGGAGGCCTCTTGGAGTCGTCTTGGGGCGATCTTGGGGCCTCTTGGAGCATCTGGGGAGCCATCTTGAGGCATCTTGGGCTATCTCGAGGCATCTTGGAGGTCATCTTGGCCTCTCCGAGGCCCTCTTGGAGCCGTCTTGGGCCATCTTGGACGCCCTGACACCTCGCGAAACCCCCTGTCCAGGTCCAGGGGAGGGGGTAGGGGGAGGGGTGAACCCCTCCCCGAAGGGGAAGAAGGAGGGGTGGAAGAGGAAACTCCTTAAACCACCGACGCCCAGAGGGCTGGTGGGATTCGAGCATCCTCGTATTCCTGTCGGAGAAGCACTCTGGCGAGACAGAGGACGGCATCCTGTCGTGCGAGGCCGCCGACACCAGGCCGCTCAACAAAGCACACGCCGGCGGCCAGCTCATTTAGCAGCGCTGTCCGGCTGCGCATCGAGCCGCAGTTCGCCCCGGGCATCGCCGGCGAACACAGGGAGTTCATCGAGGAGCGGCCGATGCTCGCCAGCGCTGTCGACGTGGAGGCCGCGATGCTATTACGACATGCGCTCGCTTCCCCCACAGCTGCCAAAGTGTTGTTCGACTTTGAGGCCTCGCGCCTCGCACGGCTTCTTGCACGATGCCCTGAAGGCCGCAAGGTGTCCCAGTTTGGGTCTGCTCCCTCGTGGTTGGGCTCTGTTGGAACCGTGCGTGCAGCGTCTCTCTTGGCCGTCAACGCCATGACGGTTTTACGCTGTATGCTGGAGTGCGCCAAGGCTGTCCGCTGTTGCCGCTGCTCTTCGTGGTCCTTTCCGACGTCCTCATCCGGTGGGCCCTGCGCGTGGCTCCGCTGATCACGCCCAGGGCGCACGCGGATGATATCGCCGTCGTGCTCCCGGACGCCGTGGTCGAGGCGCGCATCCTGGAGTGCATGTTCGCGGGGTGCCGCGCCATTTCCGGCCTTCAGCTCCACCGCGGGAAAACGGTCTGGGCCCCGCAGAGTTTGCCGGACGCGGCCGCCGTCCGTTGCGACCTCCAACAACGGTTCCGCAACTGGAGTGATTTCGCCATCCAACAGCATGCTACCTACCTTGGTTCCTGCACGGTGCCAGGCAGGGGAGACCGCTCATGGGTGAAGGTGGCCGCCAAGTTCCAGGAGCGCGCCCTGTTACGGCAGCGCGTCGGATGCGGCTGTTTCAACGCCTCCCTCGCTCGTCGGACGCACATCGTCCCGATTCAGCTTTCTCGCGCAGCCTGAGCCTTCCAGCAATTGGGACGACATCGGGCGCGACGTCTGCAAGATACTGTTCCGAGGTCCCGGGTGTTGGGCCTCACCGCGCGTGCTCCACAGCCTGCGGATGCTCGGCTTTCAGACGGAGCTCCCGAACCTGCACGACATCGCACATGCTGCGAAGCGTCCGGTTCTCTAGTGGGAGAACACGGGCCAAAGGGGCCTCGATGTCTCGCGTCGCCATCACATTGTCTCGGGCAGCTCATTCTTGCTTCGCTTAGCTCGTTGGCGGAACTGGATCGGCGCTGACGCTCTTCCCAACTTGGCCCGCTCGCGCGCGATGCTCGAGCGGGCCGCGCGTCGCAGATCCCTCAGCGCACCCGCGCTGCTATAGGGGAATTAATCGCAAGAGGTTGGGCGGAAGGACTGGCAGAAGACGGCCAAACTCAACTTGGGGACCGATGATCGGGATTCGTTTTTTCGCCAGCTGCGCTGGCGCATGGGCCATTTCCCGCTCCTCCTCCTACCTGGCCGGGTTGATCGCGCAGTCCGGCTTCTATTCTACGCGGTTTTGCCAGGGGCGTCTCTCCCAGGGTTTGGTTTGCCGCGTCCCGTGCGCTCTGCAACGGCTGGGTCACCAGAAGTCGATTCGGCGAATCTGGCCCCTGCGTATTCGGATCTGGCCACCAGCAGGGTTCCCTGCAGCAAAATGCGGCGTATCCAGTAGTGGTGGATTGCGCGCGACGGATGCTCGGCCTTCGCGCGCTCCTCTCGCTCATCGCTTCGACGCCTTCCTGGCGTTCCACGTCCCGCGCGGCCCGCAGACGGCCGTCAAGCTCTCCAAGCGAGCACTGGTGCTCTACGCTGCGCAGCCGGCCAGTTGCGCCAAGCGTCGCGGAGGCACGGGCAACGCAACAGAGGCGCTCGCGCAAAATCGCGCGCGAGGCGGCCGCCAGACACCGCGGACTACGACTAGCGTTGGCGGACACGCGGCTGTGGCAGCTGGCGGCTCACTCGTCGGCATGACATTGTGCATGGGTGCCTTCTCTTTCTGAACTGGGCCACTCTTTGTCTGTCAACTGGGCCGCTATTTGCTCGTGCTGATGAAGGTCAATGACCAGCTCTATCACCCGTACTCTACCGATGTCATTGACTGTCTCGGCCACGTGTGGATCGGCGATGTTCGCATTGCTGTGTCCGTGGCGTCCGGGGCGCTCGTTCACCTTTTCGCGTGCGGGGTCCACTCGGCCCTCGTTCCTCGAGATGCCCTGGCTGTCCCGCGTGCGTGGCTGGAGGGTGCTTTTGTGCAAGTGTGCCCTTGCGCGGGGGGCAGGCTTTGTCCGCCCTTGTGGGCGCTGGCGTGTACGCGTGGCGAATGTGTTGCTCTTCCTTCCCTCTTCCTTCCTTGTTTTCTGTCGTCGTTGGACGTCTCCCCTTGCCCATTTCTTACATGCGGCAGCATTTGCCTCCCGCGGTCAAGGCTGGGCGCAGCCGCAAGGGCTGCTAATGGGGTGTTGCTTGACGGGAGGCTTGACTGCACGTCTGCGCTTGGCAGCCGTTTGCGACAGCGGGTGGTTTCCCCGGGTGTTATGTGGAGCATGGCGTTCTATAGCTCGCCGGCAGTGCGGCTTGGATCTTTTAGCATAAGCTGGCGTTCCATTCAGTATTCCAGCGTGTGTCTTTCTGCCCCCCGGCCCCCGCCCCTCTCCTCCTCCTCTTCCGCCCGTCATCCCTGTCCCCATGCGCGGAAATGCCTGGGCAATGCTTGTCGCGAGTAGCTCCTGGCGTCACAATGGTCTCCAAGGCCAGGGCCCCCAGCGCGAGTTTGCCATTCACGGGTCGGCTTGCATGGCGTCCTGGGTTGCTTGGCATCTCTCTGGCTCGCAACTTGGGCATCGCTCGCTGGAGCGTCGAGTTTAGTATTGTTTCTCGATTGTACAGGACACCCCGAGGGGAGTTCGGACTTCTAATGACAGTCAGCTGGCCCGAGCTCGACGTTCGCTGTCACAGCGCATTCTCTTAAGCGCTGGCGGGATTTGCCCCGCACGCTCGTTGGGGAAGAGCACGGCTTTCAAACGCAACCGTTTTCTCGCTCGTGCCGTACCTCGCCGGCGCCATCCCGATGTTTTAAGCCTAGCGTTCGGCGCGTGGCGGCATCAATTGTTTGGCGCCAGCTGTGGTAGCATGTGGTCCGTCCCCATCAGCTCCCCTTTGAAAAAGAGTGTGCCGTGTAGCCGCGAAGCCTGGGCCTCCTGGGAGGGCGACCGAGTCGTTGAATGTGTCCCCCTGCTGCCGCCGTTGTCGCCACGCGCTTTCCTTACATAGCATATTCGGCGCGCCCGCAGCTGTACTTGATGCGATCGAGTGCGAGCGCACACGCTGGCTGAAGAAGGTCGGCCCGCTCGCGCGTGCCTCGAGAGGGATCGGGTGGCTTGGCGGGCGCAGCCATGAGCAGCTGAACTGACGTGCCCAGTTGAGATTTCAGCGATGTCAAGGTGGGCGAGAACGATCGCCACCAAGACGGGAAACACGAAGATCAACTGATGTGCACATCTTCCACCACCACTACCATATGTAGGACGGGGGAGAAGGGCGGATGAGGAGCTTCTCCTCCTCCTCCTCCTCCTCCTCCTCCTCCTCCTCCTCCTCCTCCTCCTCCTCTTGGGGGCATCTTGGGCCGCCTTGAGGCCATATTGGACGGCCTTGGGGCCATCATGGGCCATCTTCGAGGTACACTGGGGCCATCTTGGAGTGGCTGGTTGCCTGCATGGGCCGTGGTGGAAGCTCGTGGCGCGGTCTTGTTCAGCATGGTTTTTCACGGGGGCTCATGCTCTCGGGAGAATCAGCAGCGCACCGCGTCTCCTCTCCTCTCTTCCCCTCTCCTCTCCGCCTCCTCTCCTCCTCCCTCTCCTCCCATTCTTGCCTCCTTTCTCCGCGTGTCCAACTCTGCACACCCCTCCCGCGCTTCGTGGCCCCACATGGAGCTCCACCTCTGGATGCCTTGCCCAAGGATTTCTGATCCAACGCCCTGGTAACCAATGGTTGTGTATAGTGTCTCATAGACCTTGCTTCAAGAGTCAGAAAACAATGGGTCATATATTTTAGGACCAGAGCATGTCATGCCCTCGGCCAGAGGGAGAAGTCCGTGCTGCGCATCGGCAGGCGTTTCCCGTGTACAGCCGCATACAGCTGAAGGGCCTCGTGGTGAACACAGACCTCAATGGGCTGTGCGGTGTTGTGGCGCCCCCTGGGCTGTCACAGACGCAGGAGGTCCCCTGCGCTTTCCCTCTTTCTCATACCCGTGTCTGTCTCGTATCCGTGGCATCTCCAACGCGTCATGCCGCGCTGTCTGACATCTGCGCCCACGATGATTTCGATGCAGGTCTGCTTCGCTGCTTCTTTCTGCATCCTGCTTTCTCCTGCGCTCTCCCACTCTTCTTTTTGTGCCTCCTCTCTCTCCCTCTACTTCTGATGTGTTTATTCCGCGCGTGTGCTCTACTCAGAGAGACAGAGAGAGAGGAACCACAAGAAAGACAGTTGCGAAAGAGGGACACCGACAGGAATTTGCAGATCGAAGTATGCAACGACCGCACGGCATGCTGCGATCGACGTGTGACAGTCTGGATGCATACAGCTGCAGTGCACCAGCAGTCGGTGTTGTCATATCCCCACTGGTCTACCGCGTGTCTTTTCTGCGCGCTTGGTGGGATAGGAACGCTGAGGATAGTCGTGGCATTAACGACCTCAACGCTGATGTCAGCATGTATGTGGCAGGTCTGACAGCAATAGTGGTAACGATGCTCATAATCATGATGGTGATGGTGATGAGGGTGATGGTGGTGGGGGTGGTGGTAACAGGGATGCGATTGACGACGTTGGTTACTCTGGTCACTAGAAGGGTGATGACTGTGTTGATGAGGGCGACGGTGATGACAATAGTGATGGCCGCGTTACTCAACATGCAAATGCGAAAACATACGAGACATCCAAGCAGCAGCATCAGCAGCAGAAGCAGCAGCGTCAAGATCAGGGGATCGAGAGGGGAACAACGGTTGGCAGGATGCACGAGAACGCTGCGTCGTGCTCCCGTGTGGTGATCGTGGGGGTATGCTGTGCGTACCCGTCCGCGGACTGATGCGACGCTGACGTTGCCTGGGCTGGCACCTGAGCGCGCGCAAAGCGCGCGCGGCTCTAGCCGGAGAGTCTGGTAAGCACGACAAGGAGGAACGGTCAGATGTGACCCTCCCCTGGTCTCCTGGGGCTCAGGGAGATTACACATTGACTGTTGTTCGGCGCACCAGCTTGGGCTGCATTGGCCTATTTGCCTGCCATTGCCATCGCGTAGCCCAGCCTGGCCCATCTCGTGGTCCGTTTGTTGTCAGTGGAAGAATTAGCTCGGGCGCCCTAGGGGCGTTTGAGGCACCTTAGCTCCTTGCGGTCGTCTGTGTGTGCGCCTAGGTGAGGAGCAGGATGGCGTGTAGGGGGGAGGGGCGGGGGATGTGGGTCGGCCGGAAGCGAGTTGCAGGCGCCTCGTGCAAAGATGCCCATGACGCGTTCCACACGCCGCGCATTTTCAGGGGGCTCTTGCGATACGAGTTCTCTGGGCCAGAACTTAGTCGCGCGAAGCGCGCGCGTTGGTCTTGTTGTAGTGGCTGTCGTAGTTGCAAGTGTCGTGGTAAGATAAGTGGTGGTAGTGGCAGTGTCAGTTGCAGTCGTAGTGGTAAGTGTAGTGTTCGTAGTATTCGAAGTATCCGTGGTAGTAGTAGTAGTAGTAGTAGTAGTAGTAGTAGTAGTAGTAGTAGTAGTAGTAGTAGTAGTAGTAGTAGTAGTAGTAGTAGTAGTAGTATAAGTAGTAGTAGTAGTAGTAGTAGTAGTAGTAGTAGTAGTAGTAGTAGTAGTAGTAGTAGTAGTAGTAGTAGTAGTAGTAGTAGTAGTAGTAGTAGTGGTAGTAGTAGTAGTGTAGTAGTCGTAGTAGTCGTAGTCGTAGTCGTAGTCGTAGTAGTCGTAGAAGTAGTAGTAGTAGTAGTAGTAG